TATATTGTTTCAATAAAACACTACAAAAAAGGACAAAATAAAACTCTAATCCATATTTTAAAAATATGATATTTTAGTTTTTTTAATAAAAATTTATTAGAATGATATAATTTTAAAATAATTTTTTTCCTCATTTTTGAGAGATAAAGTGTATAAACATTATTTCTTTATATTAATTAGAAATTTATGAAAAATTATTCACCATGACATTCAGTAAGGGAACATTAATTAAGATGCAAGAATAAAACTCTTACCAAACGGGCCAACTTGTTCGGCTGATGATTTCTTTTGAAGTTGAAAAAAGAATAAAACTCTAACCAAACGGGCCAACTTGTTTGGCTGATGATTTCTTTTGAAGTTGAAATTTCACAACCTAAAAGTTGTTAGATTGTAGTTGTTAAATGTTGACAACCAAGTTTGTATGAAATTGAAGTATCACCATACCAGCAAGCATGTGTGAGACTCTGGGAACATGAGGGCGACTTTGGCGTCCTCTTTAATGCCTAAATCATGTAGTTCATAAGTTTTGTAATTGTTTCAAATAGGCTCCTTAGTTTAATTTCACTCCTTATTAAGTAAATCGATTTTGTTCCACTATTCGTTTATGTATCTTATTAAAATAGATAATTAATTCAAGGATCGGACTAATGGATGAGAAAGTTAGAATTGTTATAAACCAAGATTATTTCGGTAGATGATTTACCTTCCACTCTTTATCTTCTTCACCTCTCCTTCTGCACAATATAACAATAGTGATTAAATTCTATCATTTAATTAACTCCTCACTTCATATGTTTATAGTAGTGATTAATTAACATCTTACTAATTTTATGTATTTACACATTTCATTTGATAGATGGTAATTAACATCAACTTTCTTAAATATTGACATGGTAATTAATTTTAATTTAGTGGGTGATTTATTCTTATAACTCACACTATTCTTCTACTATATGTATAGGTTTGTAAACTTGTATGGAAGATATGAAAAAAAGAAGAATAATAAAACTCTTCATGGTCTCTTTTGACTCATTTTGCATATTTCATACTTCTTGTTCTGGTTGTTTATTTCTTTATCTTACAACAAGAGTCAGGGATCATCAATGTTGTGTTATGGAGTTTAATAATCTCTCATCTTAACTCCAGAAAAAGACTCTAGCTGTACAGTAAGCTCCTCCCACTAGGTCTCTTAGCTATTCTCTTGTGAAGCCTTTCTCTTTTTCCTTCTCTACTTATTCTGCTTCTTTTGTTTGAATCACAATCACAATTCCCTATCTTTCTTTTCCTTTAACCGATCGAAACCTATTATTAAAATAAAAAACAAAGCTTTCTTGGGCGAGAGTTGGGCAGACCAATTCAGTGTTATGGGTTGTGTTTGATTGCTATCAAACCTAGACTTCATCAATGGGGGTGGGGTGCGGAATGGTATCGAACTTGGCAGAACACGTGTTGAAAATTTTGGTGTGGCTATAAAGGAGGGTCATGACCAGCCCGTAGATTTAGTTGTTGAATGACAGGACATTAATCACGGGATGGGGATTATTGATTGCTGAAATCCTTGTTCTTCCCCCCCTCCCTGGCCCTAAGAAGTTAGTGTCACAGTTAAGAATGTTCAGAAGCTCATTATGTATATAATAACTTTCTTTCTACATTTAATAATGCATGTACTTCTGTAGTGATTGTTTTTTATATTTATTTATTTACAAATCTATCATGAACATTTTAGGTTTTGATATAGATATTTTTATGTAATCTTGTTTCTTTATATTAATAATATCTTATTTCTATTAAAAAAAAAAAGAAAAGAAGAGTCAATGTTGTGTTAGGAGGAAAAAACTAAAATGTTGAATCTCGTCATATGGCAAGAGTTTGTTCCATCTAGTGCTAAGTTGAATTTGAGATTTGTTTCCTCAAAAATCCAATTTATGGTGTAAACAAGATTATAAGAAATTGGGGTGGAGGGCCTTCACCGTGGTCATGGCTACTCTTAAACTTGGTGGGCTGAGATGAGGGGGACTCGTAGCTGAAGTTATGTGAAGAGTATGAAGAAAAAAGAACACAAAAGTCGATGATTTCTATTTTTGTAGTGATCAATAACATATCCACTCTTATGACCGGTTATCGATCTATAAATTGTTTTGTTGCATTTTTATTCTTGAGTTTCATGTTTACATTGAGTGATGTAACCCAAGGTTTTTAAAACCGGACCGGACCGGCCGGTTGAACCGGTC